CTTAGCCCAAGTGATACAATCAGCAACACCATTACATCAAGTACATCTTTGAAAATGACATTTTGTAGTAGTTACTAATCCATCACCTTTAGCTGTGTGAATTAAATCAAGATCGAGGACCAAACCAACATATATTGAATAAACTCTTCAATATAACAACTTTACACTTTGGGATGGGGAGTTAGAAGGGGTTGGGGAGGGAGGGTTAGACGAGAAGGATAGGTGAAGGTTAGCAGTGTGGTCAGAGGACACAGGTGGGAAGGAAAAAGAGAATACTAGGAAAATAAAGAAGAACTCCAAATGAGGACCAAAACAGGGACAAAAAGGGAAGATGAACAATGTGGGAGAACAAGAGAGTGAGTGTAAGAGAGAGGGAGAGAGAAAGGAAAGAGAAAAGAAAGAAGAAAAGAAAAAAGGAGAGAAAAACAAACATTTTCAAAGAGTAGCGAAGAAAAATTAAAGATATGAGGAGCAAAAGAAAAGAAAAGAGAAAAAACCCAAAATAATAAAACTAATTTTGGGAATAAAAAATAACCATGAAGATGAGGGCCTCTTTCAGGGTATGTCTCTGCTGTCACAATAGACAACATGGGTTGCAGTGTGCAGATATAAGTGAATGAGTCTCAGCAAGCTTGTCACAGACCCGTGAGATTCAGGCAGATTTCTGTCTGTAAGTCCCAAGTTGAGCTCCGTGTCCTCCTGTAGGGTTGAACTCTGTAGAGTTGTATTGCAGGTTCCAGCTGCCCTTCCCCTGAAGATAGTCCCCAACCTGATGGGAGGGAAAATGACTCCAACTTACCCAGTACAGTGGTCTGGTGGTCTGGTGTCCTCTGCATCTTTGTAGTGTGGAACCAGGTGGCTGTACAGAGGAGCAGCAGAGGGGGGGTGTCCAGTGGATTGCTGCCAGGGGGCAGGCTGATTCGGTGCATTCCATGCGACTCGCAACATTGCTATGGCGTCCGCAGACCTGTCTATTTGCCCCTTTGTGTTTAGTTTCTTGTCATGCCCAGTGGATTCATTCTGCTGGGCCTTCTGGGGTTGTGATCCTCATTGTCTTTTCCTAGGATATTGTCTAAAATTGTTTGGAGTGCTGGTTTGGTATTCATGAAGTTCCTAAGGTGCTCTTTGTCATGAAAGTATCTTATTTCCCCATCATTTT